TTCAGTACATTTTTAATAATGATAGTATTTTGCATACAGTTTTGTATTTTTCCCTTAAAAATTTTTAATGTTAGCATTTCCCCATATTATTTAAAAACTCCTTATAGGGCGCCTGGGTGGCTCATCCGGTTAAGTGTCTGCGTTGGGCTCAGGTCGTGATCCCAGGGTCCTGGGACTGAGCCCCATGTTGTCTGGCTCACTGCTCGACGGGGAGCCTGCTTCTCCCTCTCCCACCTGCCCCCTGCTTGTGCGCGCTCTCTCTCTCAAATAAATAAATTTTTAAAAATCTTTTAAAAATATTGACTAATAAAATGGGTTTCATTCAAGTAGGTTTCCTCTGTGAGCGCATCATCCACAGCAGGACACAGCAGGCTTTGACTCACTCTCTGCAACTCTTCTCCCAACTCCAGCTGGCTCTGTGCCTCACTCCTCCAGGTACGGCCTTTCCGTCTGCTGCAGGGGAGAAAGAGGCCAGGCCATCATGTCCCTCCTGGCCACGCCATGCTGTTTCTGTGCACTCCTGGGCCAAGTGTCTCAGACAGTTAAACCCCTGATCTCAGAAAGCTTAATCTGAAGGATCCTTTGGGGGGAAATTGTCTAAGCATGTTGTCTTCTCGTCTACTCTCCAACCCATTGTTCCTTCTCCATCCTCACTGTGCCCAACCTGTATGCTCTGTAGATCTTATCATCCTCCAGAAATCTCTGCTTACAGTTTCTATTTGCAAGAATCAGTCAGTATCAGTAGGTCCAGAATCTTCCTTTGCAAGCATTTCTAGCCTCAGTGACTGAGAAAATTCTGTTAGAGTCAACACAGAGCAAAACCACTTTCTGGTCACAGGATTAATGTATTGGAGGCACAACTTAGAGCCCTTAGCCCCCTTCCTCCTTCCTTTCTCCTTCTTTCCTCCTTCCTCCCCCCTTCCACTCTTTCTCTCTTTTTTGAGTCTCTTTCTGATGAAGGAATTCCTGCCCAGGTAGAGGTAATCCTAGCTTCAAAGTCGTGAGAGCCTCTTGCTGTGACAGCAGGTCCTGCAGGCATGACCAGTAACCATCATTCCCTTCATTAGAGACTGGATACTAGTGAGCCGGGGTTCCTAACTGCCCAGTCAGGCATTCTGAATTCCTGCGAGAAAAGCCTCTTGCTGAAGTTGGGAGAAAAAACTAATCTTGCTTATCTGTACTCTTCTGGTACATCCTGATATGGCCCTGCCAATTTCTCATTGGTATTTACATCTCACGAAGGATACAAAGGCTGTAGGAACCAGAGACATACTTATTTTTAAGTAACGGACCCTGAAAAACAGTACTGTCTGTGAATGTTAAAAACACCAAACGTAGGGGCGCCTGGGTGGCTCAGTCGGTTAAGCGTCTGCCTTCGGCTCAGGTCATGATCCCAGGGTCCTGGGATCGAGCCCCGCATCGGGCTCCCTGCTCCGCGGGAGGCCTGCTTCTCCCTCCACTCCCCCTACTTGTGTTCTCTCTCTCGCTGTGTCTCTCTCTTTCAAATAAATAAATAAAATCTTTAAAAAAAAAAAACCGCCAAACGTAGAAAGCAATTTGTTCTGGAAATTATGTTTAAAATTACCAGGGAAAATATCTATACTTAAAAGAGAACATTGGTAATCTCTGAATGATAAGAATGTAGTGCTCTTATTTTCTGGTTTTTTCTTATCTGTATTTTCTAACTTTCTAAAACGCATATATACTGCTTTTCTAATAATAAAAAGTTATTTTTTAAAAAGATTTCATTTATTTATTTGAGACTGAGAGATAGCGAGAGAGCATGAGGGGGGCAATGGGCAGAGAGAGAGGGAGAAGTAGACCTCCTGCCAAGCAGGGAGCCCCAACTTGCGGCTTGATCCCAGGACCCTGGGATCATGACCTGAGCTGAATGCTTAATTGACTGAGCCACCCAGACGCTCCTATAAAAAGTTATTTTTAATTTTTAGAAAGATAATGGGATCTTCAGAGAAACAGCAGATCTTTGGCTACAGAAAGAATTTTAATACATACAGATTATTATTGATATGTTAAAGGCTGAAATGAAGAAGCTTGTCAGAAGGTTGTGGCAAAAGGATTTTTGAGTTTTTTTTTTTTTAGAGAGTGTGTCAGTGAGAGGGGGGGCAGGGAGGAGAGGGGCAGAGGGAGAGAATCTTAACCAGTCTCTGTGCACCCCAGGATTTGTGAGTTTTGAATATTAAAATCTGTTACTTGAGGGGCACCTGGGTGGCTTAGTTGGTTAAGTGTCGGACTCTTGGTTTTGGAGACTGAGCCCTGTATCTGGCTCTGCACTCAGTGTGGAGTCTGCTTGTCCCTCTCCCTCAGCTCCTCTCCCTACTCTCTCTCTTTCTCTCTCATAAATAAAATCTTTTTTTTTTTTTTTTTTAGATTTTACTTATTTATTTGAGACAGAGAGAATGAGAGAGACAGAGAGCACATGAGAGGGGAGAGGGTCAGAGGGAGAAGCAGGCTCCCTGCCGAGCAGGGAGCCCGATGCGGGACTCGATCCCAGGACTCCAGGATCATGACCTGAGCCGAAGGCAGTCGCTTAACCAACTGAGCCACCCAGGCGCCCTAACAGATTTTTTTTTTTAAGATTTTATTTATGAGAGGGCGCCTGGGTGGCTCAGTTGGTTAAGCGACTGCCTTTGGCTCAGGTCATGATCCTGGAGTCCCGGGATCGAGTCCCGCATCGGGCTCCTTGCTCTGCTTCTCCCTCTGACCCTCTCCCCCTCATGCTCTCTCTCTCTCAAATAAATAAATAAAATCTTTAAAAAAAAAAAAATCTGTTACTTGAACATATAATGGATATATAGTCAAGCATCTCTGATTTTTAAAAAACAAAGTTAGGCATATAATTCAGTCTTATTCTTTCAATCTTGGTCTTAGACTTTGTATCTCATCTCTTTACTTTAAGCAAGATCAATCTTTCAAGCTCCCTTCTTGATCTACTCTGCTCAGTTTTGGTAGTTAGAGGGTCTCGGGAAGATTTAGTTTCCTCTCCCATTTCAGAGATAACTCTTTCTCTCTGGTTATCCATTGAGTTAATACCACAAGCTTCACTTCTGGTCATTGGAAACTGTGTTTATTTCTTTGTTATGAGACCAAAGTTCAAAGGAAAAGGCCACAAGAGCCTCTTGTTCTTGGTGAAGGGGCCAAAAATCAAAATCAGGAGAATCTGAGCCCTAAATGAGATATCCTTGACATAAGAATAGCATTAAATACAAGGAAGGGGGGGAGGAATATGACTACTTCAGCACTACCATGATTCGATAATGAATGTGCTTTCAGTTTAGACCTCCACGTACCAGGCTGTTAGCTCTTCCTCAACATTTATGCTTTGGATTGGTCTAGCCTGTGGGGAAATTTTTCCTTATCATTCTTCTACCTGTCCTTTCACCACCTTTCTCCTCCCCCTAGCGCCCACCTCTAGATACTTCTTTTGTGACCCATTGTCAGAAGGCCTAGATCTTTGTTGTTAACAGATGTCACTTGTGGCAGATGCTCTTAGTTACCGATTTGATATCTGTTCTACTCCCTTCTTTTTCTTTTCTAACAGAGCCCTGATTTTGTGCAGGTAGTTGGCCAGGGGAGGCTGGGTCCTTCTCCCAGTGCTAGGGGGTGAACCATGGTTGGTCAAAACCAATTATGGTAGGTATAGTCTTTTTACCCTTGATAATGATTGGTTTAGGATGGGTATCTGGCACAATGCACGTCTGCATGTATTATGTGTCCCTTTCACCAACATGCTAAGGATGGCAGAGGAGAAAAATGGAAGCATTAAGACCTTGATGGTGTCACGGAGCCACTGAATTAACCAATCTGTATCTGCCCTACTTTTGAACATAGTTTTGTTGGGTTTTCTGTTACTTGCAACTGAAACTTTCCTGTCTGACATTCCACTGGTTTCCACTACTTATTTTGTCAATTCTGATAATACTGTTTCAATAACCATACAACAATTTCTTGAGTAACCTTTTAGACACAGGCACATGTCTGGCACTAGAATAAGAAAATAATTATTGAGACTTACCCAGTATTTTCTATTAAGGTACCTATCATCCTTGCTTTTTCACCTTTGTAAATTGACACCTTTATAAACTGACAACCTATTTGAAACTACCCTCTGAGGAGAAGCATTTGGAACTCTTTGCAGCTGAGGAAAGCAAAGTTGTATATTGGCCAAGATGACCCAAGCAATCAGTGGCAAAGCTTGAGAACGAGCTCAATTTTAAATTCCAAATCCCTACACCACCGCACCCAGTGTCAGTGAAGTGTAAAATATGTGGCAATGGGACAGGTCGAATGTGAGGTATCAGGAGGCATACGGCGTCTCGCAAAGCAAGCCAATGGCTTTACTCCCGTTTGAGACTCCGCTGTGTCTCTGAGCCTGATTTGGCTCAGCTCGGCTGCAGTCGCGGGGCACAACGCCCCTAGAATGCACTGGGTCATGGACTTGCAACCTGGTCGAAGCCAATCTGAATTCTATCCACGCAGAAAACACCCCTTTTCACTCCACGGCCCCACAGTCCGCCCAAAACACAGCGGACTTTACTGCTCAGGCCAAGACTAGGACTTGCACTCGTGGCCACTCACCTCACCCTGGCCGGACCCACGTTTTGGGCCCACGGAGCACTGCCGCCCAAACCCACATTTCGGTACCAATAGTCCTTCGGGTTCGGAATCTCCCTGTCTTCTTACTTTCCTTCTTCCCTGAAACATTACGTCGCTCCGGGGTCACCCCACCTCTTCACACAGTTACCGGCCGGCAGGTAAGCGGGCAGGAGCTCACCCTGGAGACTCAGGCAGCGGAACCGGAAATACTTACTTCGAGAGACAGAAGGAAAACTACATCTCCCAGCATGCCCAGCGAGTTTTTGTCCTCTGTTAACGTACTCGATTGGTCAACACACGAGAAGGACTGCCCCCCTCGGAATACCGCTGGCCAATCACAGGGCAGAGTTTCCTGAACGCATGGGGGCGGGCCGGTTCCGGCGGCTTTCCCGGCAGCTCCTGCGTAGAGGAGTGTGGGAGCTCCGCAGTGGCTGTGGCTCTCGGTCTAGAGTGCCTTTTGGGCGTCGCCCTCTGCTCTTTTTGCACTGGTAGCGGGAGACTTTCTAACATCACTAGTCTCGGAGCGGTAGGTGGGACCTGGCCCGCCGAGGAGTCGGCCCCTCCGAGGCTGGGCTGCGGAGAGGAACCTTCAGTTCAGGTTTTATTTATTTATTTATTTTTAAAAGATTTTATTTATTTGACAGAGAGAGATAGTGAGAGAGGAAACACAAGCAGGGCGAGTGGGAGAGGGAGAAGCAGGCTTCCCACTGAGCAGGTAGCCTGATGCGGGGCTCGATTCCAGGACTCCGGGATCATGACCTGAGCCGAAGGCAGACGCCTAACGACTGAGCCACCCAGGCGCCCCCGGCTCAGGTTTTAAAGGGGCTGGGAAAGCGAGGAAGCCTTGGGAGTCCGTGGAGGGGCTTTGCAGCCAAATTGGCCCTTCTTGAGGATGATTCTCTCCCTTCCTAGATCTGTCTCGAAGTCAGTCTGGCCACTTGAGGAAGGCACTCCCACCCCCTGAGATGGCGTCCACGCTTCCAACAACCGGGGCCCAGGTAAGATAAGGTCCCTTCTCGGGGTCCCAGTTCCTGTCGCTACTTTCCGGCCTCTGCCTGCCTTCCTTTGGAAGAGGGTTAGGAATGCCCGTCTCGGTGGGAGGGCTCCCGATCCCCAAATAGCCCTCTGATCAAGCTGTCTTCCCGGGACCAGGCACTTCGGAGAAATGGCGTATCACATTCTTCCTTTCAGAACCACCAGCTGGGAGCAGGGCCCGTTGGAGAAGGCTATCAGAGTACCTCAAAGTGGTTTTCTGAAATGCTGCTCAAACTTGCAGATTTCTAGGCACATCCCACACCTTTTGAATAAACACAGAAACAAAAACCCCAGGTGATTCTTAATCACGTTGAGGTTCTGTTGGTTTATAAGACTGGTAAACTAAGGGAAGGAGGACTAGGCCTGGATATGATTCTAATGAGAGCTTAGCAGTTGAGTGTCATGTGCAAGGAGGAGAGAGACTATCAAGCAGAAGGATGTTGGGAGAATACTGGAACCACTGTCCCTTTTCATGATTCTTCCTGGGCTGCTCAGTTTTCTTTCCCTTAGAGCATCTGTTTGTAATGATTTCCCTCCCTGAGAGTTCCCTCATCTTTTCTAGAAGTCTCTTCTAGAACTTCTTATAGTTTACTGTCTTGGCCCTTATACCACTGTCTCAGAAATTATGTCCTTCCCAGTTTCCACCACCACCCTTAGAACCCACTTATACACCATCCCCAGCACTCAGGAACCTTTTACACCAAGCCCCTTCCTCCCTTGGTTCTGATGTTTCTAGCTCTTCTCAGTCTCCCTAAACTGAGTGAGGGGGTGGCCTTGGGGCCTCTTGTCCTGAGATGGGCTCTCATGTTGTTTCAGGGGCCAATGCTGTTTGAGGATCTGGCTGTGTATTTTTCTCAAGAGGAGTATGTGAGTCTGCACCCTGCCCAGAGGTCCCTCAGCAGAGACACTACACAGGAGTGTTTCGAGGATATGGCCTTGATGGGTAAGGCAGTTGTTTTTCCTGCATTTCGGAACTTTAGTCAGTTCTAGGAACAGGATTTCATGTCTCATTCACATGTTGATATGGGGGCGTGGGACCTTTTTCTGGGTGATCTATGTGGATATGACAAGAACTTGCACGACAGTGCAGTAGTCAAAGGATGAGATGATTTCTTAAAGACCAAAAAAAAGCCTATCTAGTACAGTGACTGTGATTTTGCATGAGATATGGCAGTATCCAGTAATCTTCCCAAATATTTATTAAAGTCAATTCACAGTTTTACTTGCAAAACCTCATGAGTATAGGTTCCTGTCATCTACTAAAGATTCGAAATTGATTCACTCTTAAGGGGGTGCTATGCCATTTTCACGTAAGGGGAACTATATGCAGAAATGTTCCCATGCCTGAGTAGAGTTTGTCTCTGACTAGGGTTGACTCTTGGAACTATATTGTAACTCAGGTTTCATATTTTCCATCTCTCTCCTCATCATGTTCATGTTTCCCTCTACCTTGTTGAACATAAGAAGTATAGTTATAGCTATTCTAACATTGTTGCTACTAGTTTCATCATCTGTGTCATTTCTGGGTCTGTTTCTGTTAATTGATTTTGCTCCTAGTTATGGGTCATATTTTTCTGCTTCTTTACATGTCTGATAATTTTTGATTGGATGTTGGACATTGTGAGTTTTATGTTGTTGGATGTTCATTTTGTTGTATTTTTAAAAATATTTTTGGACTTTGCATTTAAGTTACTTGGGATCAGTATGATCCTTTCAGGGCTTGCTTTTTGTTTTGTTAGGGTGTATTCAGAGCAGCCTTTAGTCTAGGGCCCATTTGACCTGCTGCTAAAGCAATGTCTTTCTGAGGATACTGCCTGATACCTTGTGTGTTCCATCTTGACTGTCAGGAACATGAACTATTGAACTATGTATGATGTGAACTCTGAAGATTGTTCTCTGTGTTCCTTTTTGATGATTCTTTTCCCAGTCTGGGGTAGTTTCTTCATGTGCACTTACAGATTAATGTTCAGCCCAAGTCTTAACGGGGCCCTACCTAGATGTCCAGAGCTCTGCCTGGGCACCTGCCTTGTCCCCAGTATTTTGTTGTCAAATTCTAGCCATCTTGGCATCCCTGAATTTGGTCTCTTCAAAACAGCAAAACCACACTGCACTGCAGCCCAGAAATCCTTTCTAGGCAGTGTGCTAGGGCAGTCATAGGGCTGTTTCTCTGGAAGGAAAGACCCCTTTTATATTGATATGTTGGCTTTACAAATTAAGAATATTTGGACAAATATTAAAAAAGAATGTTTTTTGGCAGCCCAAGTTTTATCAGCCATCCCAGCAGTGAGACCAGTTATCATTTGGCTGCTGTATGCATGGCAGCTCTACCTTGATCTTTCCTCCAGGAGAGGTAAAGAAATTTTGAAGAACTCTCCTGATGACAATAAAACTATTTCTAATAACCAGATTGTTTCTCTGCTAGGTAGAAAAATACTCACTTGCTCTCTTTCTTTCTCTCTTAAATATGAATCCCAATCTCTATTCCAGTTGTGGTTGTTCAGCGGTCACTTGAGATTCCTTAAATGATGAAAAGTTCTTGAGACTCAGGAGACTAACTGGAAACCTTCTGTAGACAGCATCTACCAAGATTGCCCTTAGTTCCTGTCCTGCTGGACCCTAACATAGTTACACGTCTTTTCCGCTTCCTCCTCACAGGATCACTAACAACTAGATCCTCTGGGAAGTCAGTAGAGCCTGCTGGCCTGATTTTGTATAGTATGAGTGTCTGGGTTCTAGGATAAGCCATCTACAGATTCTTGGTCCCTGTGTAACTAGCTTGTTCTTTCCCCAGTACCACTTGAGGGTGTTATCTATGCTTTGCTTTGTTTTGTTTTTATCAACAGGAGGGGAAGGCAAGACTGAGATTTCTCAACAGTTAAATCTAGAGTCTGCGGGATTTGAAGAACTTGCCCCAGAAAACTCCTCCATCACTGTGCCCCTTATCTATTACCCAGAAAAATCTGAGACTGGAGTTGGAGACCCAGAAAGGAAAGTATCAGGTGGAGCTCCTGCTTGCAAGAAAAGGTTCATAAGCCTATTAGTTACCATTGAAAACCAAACCCCATTACAAGAACTGTCTCAGTGTTTAGGAACCGGAGCACTTTCTGAAATTCTTGAATTTCCTGGGGAAGAAGCCAAAAATTTGTACAAGTGTCCTGAATGTGACGAAAGCTTCAGTGATAACTCATACCTTGTTTTGCATCAGAAAACTCATTCAGGGGAGAAAAAGTATAAATGTGGTGACTGTGGGAAGATTTTCAATCATAGAGCCAACCTGAGGACACACAGGAGGATCCATACTGGCGAGAAGCCTTACAAGTGTGCTGAGTGCGGCAGCAGCTTCCGCCAGCACTCACATCTGTCTCGGCACATGAATATCCACATAAAGGAGAAACCCCACACATGTGGCATATGTGGGAGAGGTTTTATGTGGCTCCCAGGATTGTCACAGCATCAGAAAACCCACGCTGCCAAAAGAGCCTATGAATGTACTGACTGCGGTAAATATTTTGGGCAGAAAACAAATCTTGCTTTGCATGAGAAAACGCACACGTCAGCCACCCAGTACCAGTGCACGCAGTGTGTGAAGTGCTTCGGGCAGTCCTCACACCTCGTCCTCCCCGAGCAGGGCCATGCAGATGACTCTGAACACTGCAGTGACTGTGGGGAAAATATGCTTTTGTTCTCAAAATTTAAACCTTTAAAATGTCCTGAGTGTGCGAAGACCTTCCTTCGTGTCTCTGAGCTTATTTCCCATCAGAGCATTCATAGAGGGGAAAAGCCCCATAAATGCAAAACATGTGCAAAAAGTTTTATTTTGGACTCAGAGCTTGCATGCCACCAGAAGAACCACACAGGAGAGGAACCTTTTAAATGTACCATGTGTGGGAAAAGTTTCAGGTTGAATATGCATCTCATTGTTCATCAGCAAACCCATACGAAAACCACCATGTAAATATAGCAAGTTTTCATTAACGCTGTGCTTCTCAGTATCTATACTGCAAACTGGGGACCAGTTACCCTTTATGTACCAGGCACTTTACATGCATCCCATGTCACATGTCACTTAGTCTCCATCACAACCTTGCTTTAGGCACTATGATTTCTGTTTTATAACTGAAGAAGGATAATGTCACAGCTAGTGAATGAAGCCAGGATTCTAACTCAGTAACTCAGTCACTGTTCACATTCCATTTGTATGAGCCAGAGAATGATATGGAACTTTTTTTTAAATTCAGTTTTCCTTAAAATGAAAGTCTGGCTAGAAGTTCTTTTAATTTTGTTACATGGTTTCTAAGTAAGTTTTAGAAGAAGGAGAATTTCCTTTTTCTTTCTTTTTTTTTTTCTTTTTGGCCAGTTCTGCAGATCTAGTATCTAGGAAAGTAATCTGTCTCTGTCTTATACTTTTTTGGGTTATAACTAAATGTAACATTTGTAAGAGATGATATTTCACATGTGAATTTCTGATGTGGTTTAGGAGCTTTTACGCCTGTGTGAAAAGTTCCCAAATAGATGGGCAAGTTGGTGTCGTAATGGCTATTAGTATCCTTGGAGTTCCATTCTCATATTTCTGATGCCACTGCCTTTGTGACTCATTTGCAAGGAATTTTGGCAATCTGACTGTAGCCTTTCCTGGCACCCAACTTGATCTAGGGAAAGATACTTGCTCCTCTCTGGAAGGAGTTACCTCTAAGTCTCTACCAAAGTACATTACCTGCCTTTCTATGAATAACAGTAACTCTTGTTTAGTGAACATGCTAGATGTTTTAGGGGTATTATCTAATTTAATCTTTAGGATAAATTTGACAGAGAAAGGGCTATCCTCGTTTCATAAACGAGGAAACTGAAGCCCTCGTAAAGTCAGTATCTTGCTTAAGACAAAAATAGGAATGTGCTGAAGCTGGCATTAACCTTGGGTGTCTCTGATGCTGAAGGTTGTGCATTCTTCAACCCTGTTATGTGTTGGCATTTGTGTTAGGACCACAAGCAGCCAGGAAGGCTGAGACGGGTGGGTGAGGATAATCATCATGGAGGCTACCCTGTGCACACGCATCCTAGAACCCTTTCATTGCCTTTGTGCTTTATCCCAAGTCTGATTTAATGTGTATGGTAATAAAGCAACAGAAAGATTCCCCAGGACTTCCAGTTCAAACTCCTATTCCTGTGATCAGATCAGAGATTGCAAACTCTATAGAGTACAGTCCTTATGGTTTTAGTTGGATTTTGGTTAAAAAAAAATTTCCTCCTGATCGCCAGAGAAAAATACATACAGAAAACTATTAGAGGGGCGCCTGGGTGGCTCAGTTGGTTAAGCGACTGCCTTCAGCTCAGGTCATGATCCCAGGGTCCTGGGATTGAGCCCCGCATCGGGCTCCCTGCTCAGGCGGAAGCCTGCTTCTTCCTCTCCCACTCTGCCTGCTTGTGTTCTCTCTCACGCTGTCTCTGTCTCTCTCTCTCTCCCCGTTTATTTATTTATTAAATAAATAAATAAAATCTTAAAAAAAAAACTATTAGAGTTTAACCAAACTACTTGACAATATATAGATCTTTAGATACTGCTGTTACATATAAATATAGGAGCAAAATGTTGAATGGAATGGTTACTAATGTTTAAGAACCAGGGAATCTTGTAAATTACACAATTTCTCTTTAAAGCAAAATTGTGTACCTGTCAGCAAGACCGGTTTTTAATGGACTTTTGATCAGGATGTGAGGATGGTCTTAATTTTACAGAAATAGTATAGAAGTACAGCATTGATTAAAGTGGGGTTATCACTGGGAAACCTCGTGAGCAATGATAAGCCTCTTTAGGAGAGTAGTACTGGAAGATGTGGTCTTTCTACAGAACAGCCAATTGGGAACTGAATATACAAAAAGAGGCTGGCTACTGCTGTAAGCTTTTAACACTATTTAGAGGCAAGAAAATACTCCTGGTGAGTAAGGGAAATGGAGACTCCAACCCAGCTCCCACTCCTCTCCCCCTTTTTGTTCTAGTTTCTTGTTTGCAGATCCACAGCTGAGACCCTGTGCTCTGAATGTCAAAGGTCATACTAGACTCTCTGTTTCTGATGTCTCCACTCAATATGAGACACCAGTCTGCTAGGGCTTTAGGGTCTTAAATTAAAAAGTGAGGTCATCTGTAGGTGGTTCTTCAGCAAATCTCTGGGGAGCTTAGACTTGTGTAGAAAAATGGTCTCTAGTTAGATTTCTTATCAGCCAACTTTGGGATATAATAATCTTGCTAAATACCAGAAAGCACTATCCGACAGCTCTCCTGCTTCTGCCTTCAGTGGCTGAACAGAGTTGCAGGGCAGGGAATGAAATTGGGAAAGAGGCCCCTACTTGCACAGTTGCTGCAGAAAGTAGGAAAGGCTATCTTAGAAGGTATGTGGACAAAATGCGCCGGGCATAAAAGATGGAAGCTGCCATGCTTTCCTTTGCTCCTACGACAGTATGGGGGAAGGTGAGAATTTATGCCATATATGCTGTTCTGCACCTCAGTATGGGAAGTCACCTTCCCAGATGAGGCTTCCTTCACAATTAAATTCAGGTTTTACATTTTTCTTTATTTTCCAGATTTTGTAAGATTATGCCAAACCTCCATAAGAGATTAGAAAAATAGCACTTTTATAAAAATATTAACATACACACAAGTGTAAGATGCCTTTTTGGTGTAATAATCATTGTTAATGACTGGTATGCAGAAAAAAATTGAAACAACTTTGAGTGTCAGTTACTGTGAAAGAGGCATATTTTTAGTTGTTGCCTTATTGCGCACCTGCACCTAAGTACATTTGCTGGATGTAATTCAAGCTGCTCTGAGCCCAAAAAGTCGGAGAAAGGAGTTAGTCCACTATGAGATCCATGCTGTTTTTATGATGATGGTTTTTTCACCTTTCTGTTTACAGCGTCGACTGATGGAACTAGATTTCACAGTATGTCATTAACTGAGAGATATTAACCTGCTATGTTAGTATTAACAAATACTGGATAGGGGCGCCTGGGTGGCTCAGTTGGTTAAGCGACTGCCTTCGGCTCAGGTCATGATCCTGGAGTCCCTGGATCGAGTCCCGCATCGAGTCCCGCATCGGGCTCCCTGCTCGGCAGGGAACCTGCTTCTCCCTCTGACCCTCCCCCCTCTCATGTGCTCTCTCTCTCTCAAATAAATAAATAAAATCTTTAAAAAAACAAACAAACAAAAAAACACAAATACTGGATAAAAGTTAATATAGGGATGAGAAACGCAGGAGTTTATTGTTAGGAACAGTTGGTTCACTACCTTTTGCAGCATGGATGTTGACATACTATGCAGGGTGAGAGCTTTGTACTGAAGAAATTGACTTGAACAAATGTGGTTTCTGTTGTTGATGCATAGATGAAAATGTGTATCAAACAAGTCCTTAATGTGACTGCCCGAATATCAGGGTGTATTAACAGCCATCACTGATACAAACAGCATTATTTCAGTAGATTTCAGATGTCAACAGTTTATATTTTATAACTAAAGAAAGGGTGGGATTTAGTTGTTAATCTGGAAGGAGTTGTACTCAATATAGTTTTGTTTAGAGCCTTGTTGCAGTAGTTAATAGGCTATTCACATCTCCCCATTTAACACAGAAAAGGACTAACCCAGTATACAGGGAGTGAAAACAAGTGACATTTCACAGTAAATGGTGTTTTGAGTCTTTGACTTTTGAGATTCCATATAATTAAGTGGCATTGTTCTGATGACTGCAGCGCCTTACACAATCTGATACCGCAGAGTTTGCTCAAAGTAATCTGCCAATTTATTGAGTATGTGTACAAGGCAGATTATAGTTTATCTAATTAGTCTATTTTGAATGGTTCATTGAACTCGTTGTCTTCATAGGATTTCAGTAGTAAAGTGTTTTTGCTTTGACCATCTGTTAAAAAAATAACTGATCTTCATTTGAAGTATGTATATTCATCTGCTTTAGTTGTAGATTGAGAGAGCTATTGATCCAATGTCAGGATGATCATTACCCATCTTTTCATGTCCATCTGACTACAGGTTTTTTGTCTTTTATTTTTAGACATCCCTCCTTACATTAACACCCTGGGGAGGCTGGGGATATAACATAAATGTATATATAACCCCGAAAATATGCTGCAATCTCCAGTTCGTTTGGATACCTCAGAAGTAGGTTTGTTATGTGCACTTGTACTGTCTAATGTTTTGATTTTACCGATTTCGGTGTGTTCTCATCAGTCTTACTTCTAGAATGCACGCTCTCACTAGGCTGTGATTAAGTCTGTCCCATGTGCGGTATGGCATCTAATAAATGCTGTTCTCTGAGGAGGGCAATGAAGTGAACTTGTTCTTCTACACGCCAGTGGTTTTGGATGGCAACCAATTTTGAAGAATTTTGAAGACGGGCGGGATTGTGGGTTTGGAGTGTGAATTCGTGACCTCGAGCCATTTCCTAATGCAGGTACAAGTCGTTAGCTCCCCAGAACGCAGAAGAAAGTTCCAGCGTAACCCCGTGAGGCAACCCCAGACTTCGAAGTCCCCTCCAGCTCCAGCCCCGGCTCCGCCGCCGCGGTATGGCGGGGATCGATACCTGAGGCCACGGAGGGCAGCAGAGGCCCGCGTGCTACCCGCCCAGCACCGGAGGTGAAAACCGGCCGTGCCCCGTACGACTCCCAAAAGGCTCTGCGCGGCCACCGCGCGCCCAGGCGGCTCTCGCTCCGCAGCCAGCTGCGCAGGCCGGCGGGAATGCCAGCGAGGTGGCGCGCGCTAGAGCGGCCCACAAGGCTGGGAACCGGAAGTGGTGCGTTTACTTCCGGCGGCCTCCTTGGGCTGCGCGGCTGCGCATTCCCGAGGCGTCTGGGGCGGCTAGGAAGCGATGGATGGTGGGCTCCCAGCGGCGGCCTTGAACTGGTTCCCAACCCATCCCCGGCACGCACCGCGGGGCGGTCTCCTCAAAAACTGGGCGGCGGGGCCGAGATCGTTGGACGACGGGTCTTTCCGGTCTCGCCCTCTGCACCACCGGTATGACTGTCCGGGGCCAGAGCAATCTCCGTCCCTCGACTCTAGGCGCAGACCGCGCGCCAAGGGCGGGAGGAGCCCGCGCTACCTCCCCGTCCCGAAGCCTGCTTTGGCAATGCGAAGCTGCCGGCTCGCCCAATTTGTGTACCTTTGGCTTGTTGAAAGGACACTTTGTGGTTCCGACTTGCCCTAGGTAGAGTATCTCCTCTCTAGAACTAGCGCCAGTCTCCTCGTCGGCTTTCTCTGTGCCTCGCAGCCGAATTCTAACATGCTTCTGTTGCTTACTGTATTCTGGGTTCACCTGAGTACAAGGTGCCCCCAAACGAGCTTCGCCACTTCCATGATTACAAAGACCTCACTTTATGTCTCGCCCAGATTTCTTCTCTCCCTGCATTCCAGATTCCTATATTCAGATTTCTGTGAGACATCTTCCTTTGGATGTCTGAGGCATCAAAACACATGCCCTAGACTTAACTCAAGCTTTTAGCCCTTAATCTGTTTGCCTCCAGTGTGTGGTGCCCCATACAGTTGCTCATGCTACCAACACATTCCCTGTTCCTCTGCTCATCCATTCCATCAAGTCCTGTGGATTCTGCCTCAGATACATCTCTGACTGGTTCTCTGTGTCTCCACCACCCTTAACAGTACTCATTGGGGTCGACTGAAATAGCCCTCTAACCTCGCACATCACTCTTGTTCTCTGCCAGTATAGCCAACACGTCTGATCATGTCACCATCCAACTTGACATCTTCCACTGGCTTCCGGTTGTCCTTAGGATAACATCCAAAATATTCAACATAACCTTCCTAACCGTTACTTCCCTGCCAACCCCAGCTACTTTTTTTTTTTTTTCCAACGGAGAGAGACAGCAAGAGAGGGAACACAACAGGGGGAGTGGGAGAGGGAGAAGCAGGCTCCCCACTGAGCAGGGAGCCCGACATGGGACTCGATCCCAGGACCCTGGGATCATGACCTGAGCCGAAGGCAGATGCTTAACGACTGAGCCACCCAGGCGCCCCCAGCTACTGTCTTTATTCAGTGCAGTTCCCTGAACTTTCAGTTCATCAAATGTACCAAGCTCTTTACTTCCTCAGGAACTGCGAACATGCTTTCCCTTTTACCTGGAACACC